GCTGAGCATGGATGAACTTCGAAAGGGTAAGATGGACCTTGGACCTAAACCAAAGGTCAATGAACTTCCTACTTTGCCTTTCGGTTTGGACATTCAGCCGAGTATTGATCAGTACATCAACCAGAAGCCAATTGAATCACTTGATGAGCATTTCCGCAAGAACGTACGTAGTGGGAAGTCGTCCTATCTGCGCAAACGAGGCCTGAGCAGTAGCACAACACCAGAAATGTCTCGGAGTCGTGCAGACACCAGATCTATGCAGTCGAGCCGCTACTCAGAGTACTCTACTGATGAGCGTTCTTCCTACTACGACACAGCTGCAAATTCCCGCCTCTCTCTAATTGACTTCAACTCCCGGACATCAAATCAAAGCTCAAGGACCTCATTTGCTGATGCATCTGATATCAGCTTGTCTATGGGAGTGGACAGTACCAACAACTTAGATGATGGTGATGCTGCCTCCGCCGAGACAGCTAGAGAGTTTATGATTGGTTCTAAGACTCCAGAAGGCATGGTGATAGATGAAGCGTTCCATGCTGAGGTTCACCCTGCCTCAGAAGCTTCAGATTATGACAATGTCCATGAAAGTGAAAACCAGCAGAATGATAATGCTGAAGCAATGCTTTCTAACATCCCAATGAGCAAATCAGATGGCTTTATCGTAGCTAAAAATTCTACTGCTAAACAAAATATGACAAACGGCTTTGGCCAACAAGCAAGTGAAATGTCAGAAAGTAATGTTTCTCCATCTCATAGCGGCATGAAGTTGTCTACATCTGAACACTACATAGGCTCTGTGACTGTACAGCCAAAATTTGAAGAACAGAATGGTTTCTTGCAACAAGAAGAAACCAATCTCAGTACAGCCACTGTTGCACCACCAACTGTAGCAACACTCCCACCAAAAGAGGTGGCTACTATTAAGTCAAAACCAAGAGTGTATATGTACATGTAAACAATTATAACTTTGATGATAATAATAATAATAATAATAATGGTGACAAAATTTGCTAATTATTTTTTTCTTGTCCATTGAAAAGAAAAAAAAATATATCTTGCTGTCTGAATTGGATTTATAACCATTACAAAGGCATGCATCATGTGTTCACAAAAAGAAAAAAAAGAATGTGAAACAAAAAGTGAGAAAGGAAGGAAAAAAAAATGTATATTTTTGTTTTTCAAGTCATATTTGTTCCTTGTTTCCCCATAAACTGTGTGGCAAGCAAATTCTGTACACCCATCCCATTGTGACCATCTCTTTGATAAACTGCCATTACATCTGTTGAAACTTGTCTGAACTTGTTATTTTAGTTTTCAATATTACCATCTTTCAGATAAGTCAGCACATCAGTTATCTAAAGAAAAGCCATATCTCTTTACTCAAAAGATTTTAATAACTGTTTGTCCTAAACTTAATAAAACCCTTTCAAAATAAGAGAGGGAGAAAAAAATAAAAAATAAAAAAGATCAGCAGAAACCATAGGCTTCTTCTTTTTTTTTTATATATATATATATATATATATATTATTTCGGGCACATTAGAATGAAACAAATAATCCCAAGTTATATTCTGGCCTCCATCTTGACTATTTATGATTTCATCATCAAAAAAAAGCACAAAAAAATCAAAACACACAACTAAGAGAAAATATTTGATATTTTTCTTATCAAGAAAAAAAGAAAATGCAATTCTAAACAGATCATATGCTACAAAAACAAGTCTTTTTTTAGTAAAAAAGGGAACAAAAAATAAGATATTGAAATAAGAACTGTTTGAAATTTAGAGGTGGTAATTTATTTATAGTGAATCACTTTTTGAATGGAGATTGAAAAAAAATGGGTTTGTTGTGGTTAATCTGTGTATGGATCCATTTTCCTTTAAGTCCAGGTGGATCCATAACAAGAAGTTTGGATTGTTTTTCTCACACTCATTAATCTAAAAGCCTCGTCTGATTTAAAGGAGGGACGAGTGAATTACTTCTGATAATGTGTCAAAAACTATGACTAGTACAAAGCACAGAAGGAGTTATTTTTTTTAATTGCAAATAGCCTGCATGTTGATAATCCAAACTGATGTCATCAATATCTCTTGAAAAATTGTGTTATCACTTTGTATAAAAATTTTATTAAAAAATAAATCTTTAAACCTTGGGAGGAAATGCATCTATAAATATATATGTACAAAAAAAACAAAAACAAAATACCAATTAAAAGGTCATGAAAATGACATCTGCCACCATAATGAACACAGGTCATTTTTTTTTTTTTTTTTCCTTCATAGGCAATCATTTGATAATACAAGTGTTTTGTTCTGGTCTCAAGAATCATGTTTTGTTTTTCGTTTTGTTTTTTAATAATCAGGGGAACTTAATGTAACCTGATTGTGCATTTAGTGCTTGATTTTGTTATTGCTCTCTCAGTATTTTTGTTTTAACTGACCTGTTAAACTTACAGGTTGACTTGCAGCCATCATGGTTACTTACCTTGTTTCAAGCCTTCTGGTCACTCACTGATTCTTGCCAGTCCCTTAAAAAAAACAAACAAAAAAAAAACCAGATAAAAACAACCCCGCTCTCCACACCCGATCAACCTCAAAATACCAAGGCTCTCTCTCTCTCTCTCATATTATTGCACAAATAAACTATTATCACTAACACAATTTGAATAATTCTTTTTTATTTTGTTTGTCTTTTTTTCTTTTTACTTATTTGGTTTAGTTTGTGTTAATATTAATGACCCTGCCATATTGAATTTTCTTTTACTTTTTGCTTTGCAATATTAAAGATTTCAAAGAAAGCATACAGACAAGTATCTAAATAATGCAGCTATACATATGAATATATATCTAATACTCATGTGTTTATATAGATTTTATGTACTTGGTTGTTTAAGTTTGATATCGGCTTTAAATAACAAACTAATCTGATTTCCTTTAATGTAGATACCTCCACTAATTTGGTATATTTAAAGTTTTAAAATGAATTTTTTAAAAAGGAAAAAGCTTCCTTGAAGCTTTCATTTTAGCTTTAATAACAGTTTAAAATTTAGTATTTCCAGTAAGCAAAATACTCTGGGGTATTTTAAACAGAAATTATAGTTATTGGAATCTTTTTTTTCTTTTTTTTTCCTTTTCTTTCAGTAACATTGATAAAATAAGCCATTTTGACACATTTGCAAATAAAAATGAATTCTTGTTTTTAAAAATCTTGCAAAAATAAAATATATATTTCTGAAATGTTATTTGAGGAAAATTAGCAAAGTTAAATTAATCTGATATGAAACAACAAATATTACTTATAGCATAAATATTGTATACAAGCATTTTTTAGCCACGGGGTCTTGTTTTTCTGATGTATTGATCGATTTATCATGTACCTACTGTGTTAACAAGTTAAGTATGGTGAAGCTGAATTGCTAACAGACAATAAATTTTATATGAGGGTTCTTTTTAAGAATGGGACATCCTTAAAACGTGTGACCTTTTAATTTTAACGTCAGGTATGAACATCTGTTCTTACAAATTCTGCATGTATATACACATACAAAAGCAAATTGAAATTCTTTTTAAAAATATTTGGTGTCATCAGTTTGTAATAAACTTTACAATATATGATTAGTAAATATAGTTTTACTTAGAAGCAATATTTCCTAAGAGTTACACCATTGAAACTGAATTTTAAGATTTAAAAACTTCATAAATTATTCAATTTAAAATTGTAAAAAATGAAAAAATCTTGTAAAAATTCATTTTTTGCCAAAAAATTCTTTTTCAGACAATATTGTCAGTAATATATATTCATAAAAGCTATTAAAAGCTTCTCCAATTAAATAATGCCTTAATTTCATATTTGATTTAAATTCTGCTTTTAACTTATATAGTCACTAAAAGTTATGTTGAATTTCTCAAGTTTTTATAAAAAATTGAGGTGCTGAAACACTAAAAAATTTTTTTACAAAGATTTTCTAATAATAATAATAAAAAATTTCAAAAATAATTTCATTTGTGAATATGTCCTGAAAATTTAATTAAAATCCAACAATTATTTGCTTTTTGCAAAAATTTCCAAATTAATGTGTCTGTCACCACAAAATGGCTAAAAATTGCTGTGTTAAAAGTTAGTAAAACTGCTGACGCATGAAAAACAAGTTTTTTTTTTTCTTTAATCAAAATTACGAATGATTAAAAAATTTTCAATGGAGTAAAAAAAAATTTCATTAAATATACAAAAAATAATTTGATCCTTCCTCTTAATAATAACAATGATTTTGACGATAAAACTGTTTTCATTACATTTTGGAGCATGTTTTCATTATGGTATACTGATTTTTATCATGTTTTTGTGGAGGTACCTACTTAAATGAAATGCATCACTTCTTTAGTCTTCAATCTAAAGACGCATATTTGCTTTTATTCTCAGTAAATATTGTGGTTGTCTAAGAATTTTAACATTCATTTACTATCATTTGTTGAATATAATTCTTTTCTTTTTTGGTCAGTGCTGGACACATACTATTTTGATACTTTCAAACTGCGTAAAATAGGTTTTCTATTTTCTTTCTTTACCATTTGTCTTTGGTTAAATTTTGTTTTTTATTCTACACTTCATTTTCTCCTTTGCCAAGTTTTATGAATTAGTACAGACTTAAAAAGTGACAACTGTAAGGTTCAAAAAACCCTGTTCCTATGACTGAATATTTATTTTTGTTTAGAGGGTAAATTAAGCTTTTTTTTATGCAGATTTTAATATAGATATTTATAAGCATAGCTTAGTGTGGCACAAGGTCACAAATATGAGATGCTTGGTGAAAATTGAACACATTACACTAGTAATACTAACATTAGATCCATAACCATTTTTCAGATACTTAAAATTAAAGAAGAAAAGAAAAACAAGGCAGCCATACTTAAGAATTTCTACTTGAATGAAGTGTTTCAATGTACACTAATGAGAAGAATTGTAGTTTCAAATCTTTAAGTGATATCTTTAAAAATGCAAGGAATTTTTATTTATTTAAAAAGATTTTATGTACGTTTCTTGCACAAAAATTGTTGGTAGCTAAATACTAACTGTGGCTAGTATATTTATCGTGTACCTTGTCCATGCAAACCGAATCTAAGTGATTTTATTAGTGATAAACCAGTTAGAGAATCACCAGTCTGTAATGTTTAAACCTTTAACTTCTTATGATGTCTGTCTTTATGAAATGTTTATGGCTCTATCTGAAAAGGTTATAGAACAATCTAGTCTTCCTCATTCATCTTGCTTCTATTTTTTTCACATCTTTTTATTTAATCAACACAAATTATATTAGTTTTTAACCATATTTTAAGAGTAAAAAAAAAAAAAAAAGGCTGACATAACATTCCCCCAACTTTTTTTATTTATTTTTTTTTTTTTAAGAGCATGATAATGGATATAGAGGTTGCCAAGTAATACAACATCTAAATACTTCTGGTTGTCTCATGATAACTCCAAGATAAAACATATATTGAATACTTTAACATTGATTTGTAATTACAATTTAATTATTAAAAACAATTATTTCTTTCTTTGCTTAAAGGGAGATAACTGAAGATACTACTATTGAGTTTTCAAATATGCACTGACAGCACCAGATGGCATATATGTTATGGCAAGTGGGTTAAAAGGTATGAAAGAACTGATTCTTTAAAAAAAAAAAAGTAGAATATATCAACAATAACAGGGGAAAATATATAATACATATATAAAAATGTTGGGTCTGCACTGAATAAGTCCTTTGATGCAGTCAGTTTCAGATATAGGAGGATTCATTTTTAGTGAAATCGATGATACTCAAAGATTCTTCTGACCAACTAACATATTCAGCATGAGAGATGATTGCTCTTCCTCCCCTTCCTCATACCCCTAGGAAGTTTTGTTTACATCTCAATCCAGACAAATAACAAAAAGAAGCTGACTGGGTGCATTCATT